TTAAGGATCAAGGGAACTCACATATAGAACAGTAGAGTAAATATCCATTCCTTCTAAACTGTAAGGAGTCACCCGACGGGCAAGACTAAATGCCCTATCAGCTTCTAAGTAATCTACCAATTCAAAATGTGCTTTACCAACCTGCATTAGAAATTTTAAAAAAGTACTTTATAGTCCATGGAATGAATTAGTATTAATTCTCTCTCACACACAAATGCATGCGACTTGCAAGCAGACCCAAGTCCTTCAGTTAATCAACCAAATTTAGTAAAAAATATTTAGATCAACCTACATAAAATGTGCAAAACTATAACTATAACTGCTAAAATATGTAATGCGTGCCTCTTTCTATGACGTATCATTAAAAAAATTATTTAAAATTACAAGTCAAGACTACTTGATCAACCTGGTATGAGACAATCTGACATCAAGAGAGGGAGAAAACAGAGAATGTAACATCAGAAGCATTACCTGGGACAGCACCCAGCTTGTATTGTAATGCCTATGTGGCAGTCTCAGATAGGTATCTAATGCATCCTGTTGACAGAAGAATTATCAAGAGCATTGAACATTGCACCCAGAGATGTGAAGTCAATATCTGTTTCTTTCAAGATAACCAAATAATTACCTGACACCTGTACAGGCAAGAAAGTCTGTAGCCTTCCCCAAGGGATCTTAAAAGGCCTAATACTTCTGAAGCACCACTTATGACTTTTGAGCCGCTAAAAAAAATTCCACCAACTGGAACAGTTGCGCCGTCTTGGTCAAGGGATCTAACATCACCAGAAGGAAATGAACTAGAAGTCATTGATGCCATATTTGCACGAGAATCATCAAATGCCTCATTCCTTATCCCTAAATAATATCAAAATTCAAAGTTTCTAAGCATCAGATTAATAGTCATCGTGCAGTTACAAGCAGGTAGAAACAAGTAGTTAATTGGAAGAAGGAGTTGTGTTTCCATTCATCAGAAGAAAAATTAGCATTTCAACTTAGTTCAATCAAATGACTGTCACAATTAGTTTCCCAAAATGAACTCATAAAAACAAACCAACTCTATTACCATCGTGCCCATCAATCATAAATCAACAAATAACAAATTCAAACAGATTTGTAACCTTCTTCAATATTTTCGTTCACCCAAGATAGTCCCTTACGAACTGTCACAGTACGAAGAGCCACAGAACTTAACTTAGAACTTCCAAGGTATTTAGAAGAGCCATTAGTCCCATTTCCAGCTACTGTCGAGATATTTGCGTTTATATTGGCCCCAGCATCTCTACCGAGTCTTGTACTTCGTCGGGGACCAGAATCAGAGAATAGCCTCCCAGAAATCTGACCAAGAAGGATCAACAAACTACTTCAGGTGGGTGAAAAGGAAGCTTCATACCATACATCACGCAGCACAAGGATGATATTAAAGTACTGGTTCCACTAACTGGACATTGATGTATCAAACAATCACAAGTAATTGAAGAGAACAACTGGCACCTGTTTGAATAATTCCATGTATCAATTTAACAAAAAAATAATGCCATCCTACTCAAAAACTTCTCTGAAGAGAACCATGTTACACAGCCAACTAGCATGATACTGTTAATTTAAATAAACAACTGGCTACATGTGTAGTGAATGTGCTTTATGACAGAAAACTAAATGGTTACTATTTCTGGTTAAAAACATTTAAAGCAGGTAGATCTATATGATTTTCTTTTTTTTTTGGTGATCAAGAACTACAAAAGCAATGGCATACAAAATTACGATTTCATCAAAGCTCTAAACTCTAAGAAGGCATTAATAAGAAAAAGAAATATTGAATTTAAAACCACTTTTACCTTTCGAAATTTTCCTTCATCAACAAACTTTCTTCGCGGTGCTTGAATGGTAGAGTTCACAACTGACCTTGGAGAACCATCAGTATTAACTGTGTTGAGGTTGGAACCATTTGGCTGCATATTTCTACACAAAGGTGGCGGAGCCACTCCTGACAACTACAAGATACAGAGGAATTCAGGCTGTTTCCCATATTCAGACAGGAAAAAATGAAACAAACTAAATAACCTAAATGCATCCACCCTAAATTAAGTAAAATCAAAACATAGAACTCTACATACAAATGTGATTCAGTGTTTTCCATTTCACGTCATCTTACCTGCAAAGCCATTGGGGAAGGAGTATTATAAAATGACATATTTGGAACAACACCATTTTGGGGCTGTGAAGCAGCTCCACTCACCACAGCTGCTCCACGATAACTACCAGGGATATCTCTAAGGTTATTGCCTTGTGTGTGTTTCAATTGCCTTGGACTGACTTCTTCTGAACCAAAGTTCTGGGAAGAAACTAAATTATAATCCTCATTGGACGTATGCACGTTTGGGGATGCTATCCCATGATGTAAGTACTGCTTTTGAATGCAAAGAGCAGCTGCTTCACCAAAAACTACAGCTGCATCTTCAGCAGCACCTAATATAATCAGACACAAAAGAGCATAACTTAAATATGAATGAAATGTAGGAGAACAAGCACTATATGATACTAAGAACAGAATCACATGAACAGATAAGAGAAAATACTGAGTGAACACAAGTAAGATCAAGCCAACCAAAAACAATTTGCTGAGCCATCTAAGTGATATACTATTTATAAGTCCAATTGCAGTAGCAGACAAAAATTAAACTAAACCTATGAAGTATATCAGTTCACCCATATTAACTCAAAAATTAGTGAGATCAAGGATCTGATCAACCTAGCATCATAACATAGCACTAGAAAGAATATAGAACCATGAGAGTATTCTTTAGACAGACCTAATACACACAACTCCTCATAAGCAGCCCAAAGTAAAGGATCTATAGACAAAGCCAGCCTAAAATGATGAATGGCGTTTTTTGTTCTATCTGTGTACCTGTAAAAGAGATGATACACAATCAAGAAACTTGAAGATCAAAACTGTTTGAAAATTGAAAAATAGTTCCAGCATCCCAGATTCCCAGTGGCTAAACAAGGAAAAGTCAAAGCATAGAGGATTAGGTTCCTTCATTACAGAGGATCCCATTAAGATTGTCTATCTCTATCCAGGCAGTAATCAGATTAAACAGCATTACATAAAAGCAAAAACGAAAGAATATCATCCAATACAATACCACAAGCATCCCTTGCATTTTATCAAGCCATCTTAGGAGAAAATTTCGGAAAACAATTGTAAGTTGTTTCTCCTTAAATTATGTATTATCTAACAGAGTTAAAGATGAAATATCTCACACCAACCTGTAAATAAGGCCAAGAAGATAATGACCAGCTGCACCATTTGGAATCTGCACAAAATAAAAAGGCATTAGCAAGATATTTCCAACATGAGAATTGTGTGAAAGCCACAAAAAACTAATATGTCCTAGAAAATATCATTCAATACCTCTCCGCCAGGCTCATGTGCAGGACATAAAGCTGTTTCAGCCTCGTTAAGTAGATCCATCTGAAAGCATGATATTGCAAACAAGTAGCGGGATTGAGCCGTTTGTTTTCCTTCATATAAAGAAAGGACTTTATGGATGAGCAACAAGATAACAATTAGTCATAATAATGGGGAAAAAGAGAAAAATAAAGCTATGATTAAATATAACAAAACAACTTCAAACACTAAAAACAAGGGGATACCCTTCAGAATACAATATGCGGAGTAAGCTTGATTGTTCTGCAAGTAGCAAGCAGCTAACAACTGCAAATTCACCTACATTTAAGACAAAAGGTTATATTTTAGTTCACTATATGCAGTAAAAGAACCCCACTTGTAAATTACAAGAAATTTATTGAATTTAGAGCCTTAATGTTATTAGTTTATCAAGCTCCACTTCCAAGATCTATGTTCTCTACAAAAACTAAAGACATTGAAGCCCAATTTAGAAGTAAAGCATTTTTTTAATGGCTTCCAGATTCACATTGAAATTTGAAAAAAAAAAAAAACAACCAAATCAGAAATTAAAAGCTAATGTTGTAATCTAAACACTAAAACCAATAAAATTCTGGGATAAAGAAGGAAAATTTAAAAACCAATTAATCGCTAACGAGTGAATGAAGCAACGCGCACAGTCGATCTTGAAAATACAAATAACAGTTCTTCCTTTTTGTAAACGAATTTTATAAACCCGGAAGAGTTAAAAATCTTCTAAGAGACTAGAAAGGTTAACATTTTCTTCTTCTTTCCTTTTTTCACCAACCCTAAAAAGTTTTTGAATAATAAAGTTCAAAAAAAAGTTTCCTTTTTTTGGGCAAGTGAGTTAGTGAGTGAGTTACCTCGGTAGGGGACTCAGCGCAGAGGCGTTCGCAAAGGAAAATGGCGTTCCCGAACATGAAATGGCGAAGACTGTTTTGAACACAGTCTGTGAGTATCGCTTCCATGGCGTTCCTATTTTGGTTAGATTCAGAGAACAAAAATAGAAACAAAAGGAAATAGAAATAGAAATAGAAATAGAAAGAGGAAGTTTTCTTTCTGGTTGCTACGGTGGTTTCTTTAGGTTTCAAAAAGAGGGCAGCACGTGTTCTTCTCTTTCAAATTCAGCTCTCACGTGACATTATTTGGGGTAATTATCAGCTGCTACACACACCAATTTATTCTAGTGGAAACCGGGGCCCTGTTTTGTTTTAAATCAAATCGAATGCATTTTTGTTAGTAATAATTTATTCTTCGAACTCAAAGTTTCCACTAGGTTTACTGTAATTTAGTTTTATCAAGCAAAATTGAATAGTTGACATGATAAATAATATATGTATGTGTATTTATTATATAAAATATAAAATTATCATGTTAATTTCTTGTTAAAATGATATTTTTTTTATTTTTATCACATTTATATATAATTTTTATTAAAATTTTAAATTATTTTATTTTTATTTTTTTATATCATTTTCGTATTATATTTAAACTTATCAGATCTAAATAAAATAATTATAAATTTAAATTATACTTAAGCTAAAATTTAATTTAAAAAGTTCATCTAAGATTCACGATAATGTAATTGGAAATTTTGTAAGCAATTTAAAGAATTCATGGTTGACATGATTAGTGCACTCCAACCAACCAAACTCAATCTGAACTTGTTGCCAAGCTATAACCAGGAGTCTTGGCAAGTTTCCTTTGCTTCATGATCCCTCTAACCCTCTCGACCTCTTGCCACAAACCATTGGAAGCGTAAATATTAGACAATACGACATAAACCCCATCATTCCAAGGCTCCAACTCTTGCAAATGCTTAGCCACCCACTCCCCCATCTCCACATTCCCAAATTTCTCACAGGCACCCATCAAACAACCCCAGATAACCACATTTGCCTTCATAGGCATCTCCTCCACCATCTTCCTTGCCTCCTCAAGCAACCCGGCTCGACCAAGCAAATCTGCCATGCACCCATAGTGCTGCAAAGTTGGCCTTATCCCATAACCATTCTTCATCATATCAAAGTAAAATTTGCCTTCCTCCACTTTCCCACCATGTACACAAGCACTCAACACCCCAACAAATGTAACATTGTTAGGTCTCACCCCAACCTCTCTCATACAATGGAAACTATCAAGAGCTTTCTCAACATGACCATGCATTGCATAGCCAACAATCATGGACGTCCAAGAAGAAACATTCTTTTCCTCCATCCTGGAAAAAACCAAATACGCTAAATCCATCCGACCGCACTTCCCATACATATCAACAACCGAATTCAACATCAAAATGTTGGATTTTTCCAAACTTTTGGCTTGAAATACACACTTATGTAGCTGAAGAGCCAACTCCAGATCTCCTAAACTACCACAAGACGATGTCACACTAACCATAGTCACATCATCAGGCAAAAACCCACATTTTTTTAGCTCCAAAAACATATTTATCGCTTCTTTAGCACGCCCACTTTGAGAAAGCCCTCCTATGATGGCATTCCAAGAACCCAATTTTCTCTCCGGGTTTTCATCAAAAACTTTCCTCGCATTTTCAAACTCCCCTGCTTTTGCATAAAGGTTGATAAAACCGCTCTCGCAAAACTGATGTAACTCAAGGCCGATCTTTATAGCCATGGAGTGAAGCTGACGGCCAAAGTTAATAGCGAAACATTGACACGTGGCCTTTAAGATAATGGGAAGAGTGTAACAATCGGGGAAGAGTCCAGCTCTTGACATGGCAACGTAGATGTAAAGTGATTTAATGGGAGCATTGAATCTGGTGTAGGATCGGATAATGTTGTTCCAGTGAAACGGCGCCGTGTAAACTGCGAGAACGCGCGTTCGGACGATGTGGGCATAAACTTGATCCAGGCGGAGAATGTTGGTGCAGTTTGATAATAGATTGGGCAAGTTTTTGGCTGGGTCTTCTGCATTACGATATGGAAATGATGGGTTCGTTTCAGAAACGGAAGATACGGTAGTTGAGGCGAGATTGCGATTGAGACAGGAAAGAGTGGTTTGGTGTTTGGGATTTGTCGTTCTAGGAACCAGAAGGTGGAAGCGTCTTGAGTTCATACTTGGGAAAGGAGATTTTGATTCAGTTCCAGTTGCACCTTTGGCAGGACACATGGGAGAACAAATTTGTTTCAAGTTTTTCTGTTCTCTGAAAACGGGGGCTTCCAGTGTCAATGGCATCATTGGACACAGAGAAATGAGAATGCTATTTATGCCAAAAAAAAAAAAATAGAAATGATAATGCTGCTCTTGGAGTCTGAAAAATATGCTAAACGACACCGTTTAAAGCAAACAGAAACTGTAAAAGGAGACAAACGAAACGACGTGTCGTTTCCCTTCCATAATATTCCATTGAAACCATCAGCAGGTGGAGGATACAAAAACCAGAACCAAATATTTCGCTGCTTGACAGAAGCTCCTCGAATTTCCAGCCGCTCAAAAGAAAATGCAAAGCCAAACCGAACCGCAACCAGGAATCAACCCCGACCAAGATGATCAAACAGTGGAGATTGATTTATCATCCACCAGCACTCTCGATCTCACCAGCTTCCAGCTCCACGATCTCGACTTGGTGGAATTGCCGCTAAACCTTACCGAGTTGGACCTTACTGCGAACCGCTTATCGACATTGGACCCTCGGATTGCGAATCTCATTAACCTCAAAAAGCTCTCTTTTCGACAGAACCTCATTGACGACGCTGCTATCGAGCCGATCTCTAGCTGGGGCTCGTTAACTGCTCTTGAGGTAATCCTATCTTTTCCTTGACGCACTCGAAGCTTCGTTTTTTTGATTATCTCACTCCTTTATCTGATGTTAAGAATTGCTAGAGCAACAAAGGAAGCTAGGGGTTATGTATTTGTTTGTTTTTGTGTAGGAATTGGTACTTAGGGATAATAAACTGATGAAAATACCAGATGTCAGCATATTCAAGAAGGTCTTGGTTTTTGATGTTTCTTTCAATGAAATCACTTCATTGCACGGAATGTCCAAGGCCTCCAGCACAATCAAGGAACTCTATGTCTCCAAAAATGAAGTTACTAAGATGGAGGAGATTGACCACTTGCATGAGTTGCAAATTCTTGAACTTGGTTCCAACAGATTAAGGGTTAGTTCTTAAATTGCTTGAATAATCTTTTTTTTTTTATATAAGTACTTTAACAAGCATCTATATTATGTAACAGGAAGATGAAAATTTTCTGTTTTCTGGCATAAGCTTTTTTTTTTTAATTATTGTTTCAATATTGGAGTCCAGTGAAGTACAAGATTGGTGAGTTGTCTTATTAGTAATTTTTTTAGCATGATCTAAGTTTTGAAGTGCTTTCTTGGATCTTGGTCTCCCAGGCAATGGAAAATTTGCAAAATTTCTCAAATTTAGAAGAGCTGTGGTTGGGAAGGAACCGAATCAGAGTGATAAATCTTTGTGGGCTCAGATGCATCAAGAAAATTAGTTTGCAAAGTAATCGTTTAACTTCTATGATAGGATTGGAGGTATGGCTCTTTCAAAAAATGCTGTTCTCACAAATTTTTTATTTCCATAACATTTCGATGAGGTTTTTCCATGGAATTTTTGTTTTCAAGGAATGCGTTGCCCTGGAAGAACTATACTTGAGCCACAATGGTATAGGAAAAATGGAAGGTCTATCAACATTAGTCAACCTCCGAGTATTAGATGTTTCATCAAATAAGCTAACATCAGTAAATGACATTCAAAACTTGACAAGGTATTGTAATTTCCCCTTCCCCTCCCTAGGGATCTTGTCTTATCCTTAGTTGTTGACTAATTTTGCCTGCAGGTTGGAAGACTTATGGCTCAATGACAACCAAATAGAATCACTTGAAAACACAGCTGAGGCTGTTTCTGGTTCAAGAGAAAAGCTCACCACTATCTACCTTGAAAACAATCCATGTGTATGTTTTGCAATTTGAAGACCTGAAATGTCTAGAACTTTTGTTGTTTCCTTATGCATGCAGCATGCCTATGATCACAAATGCTTTGCTTTGGATAATTGGTTGAGTATCTTGATATTTTTGGTTCTCTATCAGATTCTAAGTCATAGTTGTTCCAGAATTCACTCTTAATCTTTATGCTATGGACCTCCATTCTTTTTGTCACCTTTTCCTGATTTATATATATGTTATCTTCTCTCAATTATTATCTTCCTAAATTAATATTATTTAATATTGATGCATGCTGTTTTATCACATCCATCTAAATTTCTCGTCTACCATCCCAGGCTGCATTCAATGAAGTATTTTTTCCATATCAGCCTACCCTAGGTGTATGGCATTCAATTTAGCCATAGTGTTATCTGTATTAAGCCTTTTACTTAATGGTTGACATTTCCAATCTTCTCTATTGGCTTAATATTCATTCTTCTCTCTTAACCTTTTTTATATATGATCAAGCTTATTGTTTTATTGCAGGCAAAGTCTCCAAACTACTCTAGTACCCTGAGACAAATTTTCCCCAATATCGAGCAAATCGATTCTCACGTATTTGCTTAGAAGATTTTATAGGTTCTTCTGTCTGGACTGTTGTAGTTGAAAGCTCAGAAATTGCAATCATGTGAGTAATCTGTTAAATGTAAAGTCCCTTCAGTTTCTTGTTGGTTGGAACTTGCTGAGGCTACACATTTTGCTACATGGAAACAGGGTTCTGAAAGTGATCACTAATTCCTCAAGGGGTGTGGGGTGAGGCTTTCTAAATCAATGGGATGTTGATTAAAGTGTAGTGTCAATAATTGTTTGGGCATTTTTTATTTCTTGAATTGTAACCTCTTTCCAACTGTTTATGGTTTTGAAGTAATATTTCAAGCTCTATCTTGCAAACAAGAATTTATGACTTTATAGGTTGTTGGTCAGTCCTGAAATTCCCATAAGATGCATGATCACTTGAAGCATCTTCATCGGTTAAAGAAGAAATGCTTAACCCAAGTTTTATTTAGAAATGTTGTACAAGCATGTTCTACACGTCATATCAGCAATCTTTTCTACTTGGTGAAGGAATGAGAACAATGCATTATGAAATTAAAATATGTTAAGTAATAAGAACATGAAAAAAGAAGTCTGATCTCAGACGGTTTATGCTGGAATTTGGTAAGTTTAGAATTTAAATCACAGTATTTCAATTCCTTCCCCTTATCTTCACATTACAATTTCCATTATATATATATATATATATATATAGAGAGAGAGAGAGAGAGAGAGAGAGAGATTGTGGCTTCTTTATTAAAAAAAAAAAAAAATCTGGTCTAACAAAATGATCCCGACTTTTGGAGCTAGCCATGCTTTAAGCATACAGGATGGATGTATGACTCCTAAGCCGTCTTAACAACAAAACACTCCCAGGAAGAGCATCTCTAATCTTAATTTTACCTCAATTAAGAGAATGTGCGCTACAAATGAAGATCTCTCAGCAAAGAGTTCACCCAGGTTGTGACTCCAACGGTCTTGAGCTTGCAATTTCAAGCCATTGCAAAACAAACCTATCCGAGCAGTCACATGGTAATACGTTAATAAAGCTTTATACTAGCTTATTGAGAGCTACTGCAGCACAATAAAAATCAATCTTGGTGGTTCATGGCTATCTTAAATCTTAAAAATTACTTACCCAAACATTGCCCGCAGAACTAGGAAATATATTCAGTATCACACACTGCCCTTAGCAGTAGAAAGAAGATGCAGCGTGGGTTCTTTCCACCCAAAAATTTTACAGAAGGCCCTCAGAAATTCGTAAACACCTCAATGAATCCCAGCAACTTAATGTAATTTAGAAAATACAGATGCAACTTGTTTTAACCATAACTGAAATGAGAAGCAATATACCCCGTAGTCACCAAGTATATTATTTCATGAAATGCAAACAGAAAATCAAGGGAGGAAAAATTGACCACAAACAGCTGAGGTATAAATCAAGCTCGGAGTCCATGCACATCACCACATACATGCCCTATTTACCAACAAAAAAACACTAACTCCAACTCAAATCAGCACTCGACAAGTAGTGATAGATAACAAGTTCTTTAATATAGCATGGCAGAAGAGAAATATGGTTATTTAAAGTCTTCACAAGGTAAAATAAGCAACATTCCACATACTGAAGAGAAAAAGAAAAATCTCATCCCGAAAGCTACTTCAGGGATTAAGATTCACTCGGCATCAAAGATGAACAAAATTAAGAGCTACAGAGACATATATCACTATTCAAAAAATACATGGGATATTTAGTGTCCTCTTGTGAAACCAATGCGAGATCTATTAGAACCTCCTTCATAGCCATCTCGCATGGAAGAGCCTGCACTTGCCTTCATTGTCCCTCCAGTACCCACTTTTTCCATGGCTTTCTTACCCTTCTTGACCTCTGTCAAGAACTGATCAAGACCAAATGGATCAGCTTCTTCAGCTTCCTTTTCAAACTCAACTGGCCTATCCCTTGGACCACTCTTCTCAGAAGTACCAGCAAATCCTTTGTCAGGTTTAAACCTCTCAGTTTTCATTATTTTCTCTAACTGCTCGTCTGCACCACCATACATGTCAGAGTCCATGTCTTTCTTGGGCCTATAGAGTGTGGAGAGAGTAGGCTGTGCTGTGAATAGACCCTTGTCATAAATGTTGTATTGATCATCGGTTGCAAATCCAGAATCCATTCCCTTCTCCTGGTTAAATAACCTTTGATCATACATTACTTCCCCACCTCTTCCAGCACCAGTAGAAGCCATTCCAAGAGCTACTTTTTCACTAATGTCTCTATCCCTATCTCTTGTAATCTTACTCTTCTTACCCATGGCAGCATCTTTGGCCTCCAACCTTCTCTCTCTCTCCCTTTCTTTACGACGCTCTTCACGTATTTTCTCCCTCTGCAACCGGTCCTCCCTTTCTTCCTTCGATTCCTTTGGCATATCCCTTTCTCTTTCCCTCACTGGGTCATAATCCACTCTCATATCAGCATCTGTCGCATTTCTGTCAGATGAAATTGGAACAGCAGCTGAAGGTGCCACTGTCCCAGTTCTCTCAGAGCGAGCTTTAGCCGCTAAAGCTCGCAACTCCTGCTCTTTCCTTTCCTTCTCCTTCATCATCATCTCTTTCTGTACCTTTGATCTCATAGCCACAGCTTCTCTAGCCTTCTGCTCTGCGACATACAAAGCCTCAGACAACTTAGCAAAGTTATCATTGATCTGAACCTCCTGTAAACCTCTTCCATCAGCAGCAAGACGCTTGTCCAGTGGGATCGTATACCCTTTCGGATTCTTCCAGTTCGAAATACAAGGTGGAATTTTCCAATCCTGCTGATCCTTCACAGTCACTGGCCGTGGAGGGGAATGCATCACTGGCACCGGTGGAGACCCTGAAGCCTTAGGAACCCTTTTATGCTTAAACTTGGGAGGCTCTAGAGGATCAACAGGCATCTCCACCATTCTAATTATCCTCTCTTTAGCACCCGAATTAAACGCTGCAGATTGCTGTGAAGGCTTATACTTAATATACTTTGAATCCGAAGACTGTTTAGGAACATTCTTCGGCTGTGCAGCACTCAATCTCACATTCACAATCTTCTCTAAAGCCATCTTAGTTTCTTGCGTTGTTTCCTCAATCTCTTTTTCCATCTCTTCCTCCTCCTCATCACCACCCTCTTCCTCATTCCTCAAAATCTTAGGTATCAAATCCTTATGCTGCGAATAAACAATCTTCTTTGCATTCTCATTCTGCTTAACTATAGCATCGTAAGCCAAATTTCCATGAGCATCAACGGTCACCGGAAGAATTTTCGACCCAGGTTTCGCCCCTTTTACTCTTCCCATATCAAGAGGGTATTGAGCAATGTGTATTTCAGGAAAAGCGCCTCCATCTCCAAAGTCTTCAACTTTTCTAGGAACAAATCCGGCGCGCTTCATGTATGGCGGTACCGGTTTTGCCTTTATCGCCGTGGACTTCTCTTCCTCCGACGAACTAAACCGTTGTTTAAACCATGGGTCGTTTGCGTGGTCATAATACGTTGACGTTGAGTTTTTGGCAACTGGTAAAAGATCCTTCAAAGCCGCCATGGTGGATCCAAAGCTACAATATTTCTGCCTACCAAATATGCGAATTGAAATTCTAGATTTAGCTTTTCCTGAATAAAGATTTAGAGAGCGAAGAAAAAAACGTTTCGAACGCAAAACTTGGAAAACATAATTAAAAACAAGAAGAGGAGAAATACCTTGAAAAGCTCTTGGATCGATCAAGTTAACAGTTTTAAAGCAGAATCGAACTGCGCGGCTTCCGCTTTTGTAATCGCAATTTGGTATGTCGGCTGTTGAAAACGAATCCGGCGAGGATAAGGATTAAAGGGTAAGGAAGGGATAAAAAAATCACGGAAGGTTACAGCTGTGCGGCGCTGGGTTTTAGAGGCAGGCCGATATAGGACCAAGCCTGAAGCCTTTTTTAGGATGAGGAGATTGGGCTGCTTTGAGCGACCATTATTACCCATTGCCCAGTTGGAATTAAAAGGCTCTAAATTTTAAATGTATTTTCCTAATTTTTTATTTTATTCTAAAAGTAAAACAAAAATTGTTATCAAATGCATATTGTGATATATTCACAAACAATTATTTCTTAATAATTTAAATTTTTGAAAATAAGATTAGGACCCGAAATATGATAAGTTAAAAGTTGAAAAATAATTTTTGAAGGATATCTTATTAATAATTATCATTAACATTTAACAGCAATATATAATATCCAAAAGGTTGAAAAAGAAATGTACCAAAGAAAAAGACAAAAATGTAATTTTGTTTTTCCTCTGTTTAATAAAAGCTTAAAGATGGGCTATTTGCATTGATAGCAAGTCAAATAACGTTAAGCCACGTGGCAAACACGCAGCAATTAACCAATAGGAGGTCGTCCCAACGAACAAAAACCTCGCAAAGGTCAATATCGTCATTCTAGCCTCCAAAGGAAACCGATAACCGACATTTCACAAGGAGGGACTGTTCCGTAGTTCCCGCATGCTTTCTTTGCCTCTTATAAAGTCTCTACTTTCTTCATTCTTGTCAACAGTCAAAACACAACAAACCTACAACGGTACAACGGCAACGCCAAAGCCAAAATCCCCCTCCGCACTCTCTCCCTCTCTTCGCATCGGACCGTTGATTGGCGGTCAATGGCAGCCACAGAGACATCAACCGCCACCGTCCCAACGCTATATACCAACACCTTACGAAACGCTTTCGGCGGCGTTCTCTCTTTCTTCATCCTCCTTCTTATCGGAGTTCTCGCTTTCTCGATCCGTCTATTCTCGGTAAGGTCTTTCATTTTCCGTACTTCGAGAATATTCTAGATCCGTAAAATTCTTCTCAAAAATTCATTTTTCGCCTTTTTTTTTCCGGCTAAGTATAACAAAATGCATAAATTGAGCTGAAGATTGATTCGCATATTTGAATTTTTCTATTTTTCTATTTAATGATTGTCCAATTTGTATCTTCTTCCGTTTGGATGAGGATAAAGTTGGAGGAATGCGAACGAAAATTATTTTTGTTTCCAATTTTGCAAATGAGCTGCTTAATTATTTGAAATTCTTGTGCACTTTTACATTTTCAGGTGATAAAATACGAGAGTGTTATTCACGAGTTCGATCCTTACTTTAATTATAGAGTCACACAGGTCTGTTGACTCAGTCTTCCCTCTCATTTACAATTTATTGCTATTTTTAGTTCCTTTATACTTGTTTCGTTAATTTTTGTCAATTTTTTTTTGTTTTTGGTATCTTACGCTACATACGAAGATGATATTGTTGTCTTGTTTGTTTCAGTTTCTTACAAAGAATGGAATATACGAATTTTGGAATTGGTTTGATGATCGAACTTGGTAATTGCTAATTGGTAGTTAATTTATGATGTTTATGGTTTTATCTATGTTATTACTTAAGATTTTTGAATAGAATTTATTGTTTTTGGTGTATTCAAGGTACCCTCTTGGACGTGTGATTGGCGGAACTGTTTACCCCGGGTTGACTTTG